TGTACAAATTCTTCATATATTTAAGTATAGGAAATAAAATCTAATTGAATCTTGTTATTGTTGGGGTTTTTGTAAGTAAAAAAAAAATTAAAATTTTTATTGATTTCATTTATCGTAAAATTAATAACTTAAAATATTTTAAATAAAATTATGTTAAATTTAAATTTTTTTAAAATAATTTATTATATTTTAAAAGATAAAACATTAATCAAATCTTTTTAAAAGTTCAATTTTTATTAATTATATAATATTTAAAAATTAAATATATTTTAAATTTAATTAAATATAAATTTTATTTAAATTTAAATTAATAAATATCGAGGAGGGTAGTAAGAGTATCTATCTTCCACTTTCATATGTCCTATACATTAAGAAGAAAAAAAATATTTCTACAACATATTTTTACCATTTTAGGAACCATTAATTTATTTATAAAAACAAAACTTGCATGACAAACAAGTGGATTTAACAAAATTACCCTGTTCTTTTTTTTTTTTTTTGAGGGGAGAAGAAGAGAAAATACACTGTAATTAAAGATGTGCAGAGGATAATTCTTGTTGATATTAAAGTATTGAAATTAAGTAAGAGGCAGCAGCGCATACAACACACTAACGTGGGCGGCACCAGCAAATCAAGCTGATGGGAAATCGGCTACGTGGGTCTAACTCTGACTGACACGAGTGCCTTCCACTTCCCCCCTGCTTCATGCAACCTAATCGATTTAACTTAACGTGACCTGATATACGAAATAACAATCGTTCTCTATATTGTCTTACGTAGATACACATATATATATATATATATACATACGTGTCTCCGTCTATAAACGTGGTTGGACTATTTCTTTAATCCTATGTTTAGATTATTTGTTTTGCCGATTTTTAACTGAATATAACTTATTTTAACTCAAAGTAATTTAGTCATTACAATATATTTTTCTTTAAAAAAAATAAATAAATAAGTTTGTTAAAATTTAATTATTAATAAATTAAAATATTTATACTAATAAATTAAATATTATAAGATTGATTACTGTCAACTCATAATGCACTAACAAAATGATGATTATTACATTTTTAGTAAGGTCTCAATTCATAATTTTTTAATAAAATTATAAAAAAATAAATAATTAGATCATTATATTATTGAAAATTTTTTATTTATTATATTAAATAGTTAACTAGATTTACTTTTTAATCTAACACAATCAGTTTGAATTTCCTTATATAATCTAAAACAAATACTTTAATTATAAATAAATAAAATTTATAAATTATTTACATTAACCTTTTAATATAATTAGTGTCGTGGGAAGCTGAAATTGGGAAATAAATTATAAAGAAGCAAGAACTAATAGCTGTAAAATTAATTAGTTTGGTGGTTTAACCAATTTAATCCTAACAAAACCAGCTGTGATTATATTAATACTTAAAGAATTCTATTGTTATTTATTGTGTTTAAGTTTTTATTAATTAAAGGCCGACGCGTATTCATTAATTTTATGACAAAATGCTTTTAAATAATTATAATCCTACAATTAAACTTTTCTTTAGAATAAATGTGACTATAAACTTAGTACATATTTTAGGGTTATGGTAAGGTAATTATAGAGATAATGATAGTTTATATTTAATATTTAAGTAAAGTAATAAATAGGATAGGGTAAAATAGTGTGGTATATTATTTAGGATGTAACTATTACTTTACTATATATTAAAAAGGAATGCATAAGAAAGTAAATGGTTAACAAAAATATTTTTGAAAATGGGAGCACCGGAGTATTCCTAAAAATGAAATTTTTCGATTATTATTTATTTATCTAGTAGGATGAAATATATAATACTATCACAATCATTATAATACGTGATTATGTTTGTAAATTTTTTTATTATTTTGAACTTTATTAATTGACGTTATCTGTAAAAAACAAATGAGATATCTACAAAAAAAATATATATATAAGTGCAAGATAGGTAAAAAAATTTTAGAATGCGAAGTGGTCAAATTTCCTTCTCCACAACTTCATTTTCTAATAAAAATATGACAAATCCTCATTAAATAAAAATTAAAATATCGAAATCTTGAAATACTAATTACCAAATCTAAAAAGATAATAACAAATTCTTATTAAATAACGTGAAGCAATCTTGGAGAAGAGAATAAAAAATATTTGTGTGGGTAAGAAGAAAAACCTAATAATTATAAACTACTTGATTTTGTAAACCAAACGATAAACATAGAAATATGATTTAATGATACTTGAGAAGCCCCATCAAAAATATTGAAGAAGAAATTTAAGTATAAGATAAACTTTTTGTATTCATATATATATATATATATTCTCATTACAAAATTATATTATAATTAATGTAAAATATATAACTTTTTATTCCAAAAAAAAAAAATGTACACTACAACATTCAATTATTATATAGACATCAATGTTTAATATAAATCCCATGTGAAAACATACATGTGTCTACACATTCCTTTCCAATATTCAATCACTGAATTAGCTTTACTACGATTATAAAAAAAAATTAAAAAAAAAAGAAAAAGAAAATCAAACTGGGTAAATGCTATTCAGGTCCACAATCTTGTATTAAATAAATAAAATTATAATAATATAAATATATAAATTAAATTTTCATATATTATCTCTTCATAATTATATTAATTAAATAGATTAAATATTAATAAATCTTAACCGGCAAGTATGAAATTGTTTTCCTTTTTAAGGTGAGAGCCACATAATATACACGCAGGGGAACCATGTAACCCTCGCACAAACTTACAACCGAAGCCGGACGTGTCTCGTAAGCCACCGTCTATCGACCACCAACCAAAAATGGCTGAACCCTCCGCCACCCTCCCTCATCACGACTTTTTGCCTAAGGTCATTCAAGGTCTCTCCTCTCTCCTTCATAGAGTTGCAGAGTCGAACGATATCAACCGCCGATTTCATCAAGCTCAGAAAACCTCAATCTTCCATGCACTCGCCAAGCCCAATATCTCAATCCAAAACTACCTCGAAAGGATTTTCACATACGCCAATTGCAGTCCTTCGTGTTTCGTTGTGGCTTATGTTTATCTCGATCGGTTTATTAAGAACCAGCCGAATTTGCCGATTAATTCCTTCAGTGTCCACCGTATGCTTATCGCCAGTGTGTTGGTTTCTGCTAAGTTCATGGACGATGTGTAAGTTTTTCTTAATTTCTTTCCTGAATTTTCTGAGATTCATCATCGGGTCGGGCTCCAATTGGGTTTAATTGATTTTGGTAATCAGATAAACTGAGCATGATTTGGATCTGCTTTTGGTGGTTTTGTTTTTTAGATTGTGTGTTTTCCTTCCAGATCATTAATGAAGTAGTGATTAGAATAATCTAAGTTTGATTACGCGGTTGGTGCCATTATTTTTATATAATCAATTTAATTTCTGAGTTTTATATAGAGAGTTTAATTATTAATAGAGTGTAGATTAGAATAATTTGAATTTAATTGGTCAGTTAGTGCCGTTATTTTTATATAACTGACTGACGATTACTATCGTTATTGATTTAGATATAAATTTTATGATCACTAATAAAATAAAATATTTAGTAGAATGGTTAAATTTATTCTAATCAAACGATTAGTGACCTTTTTAATATATAAAATTAATATAAGTTCGATTCGTACGTAGATGAATTTATGTTAAAATTTTATAGGTTTGATATATTTAATGTTGGTTTATTTGATTAATTAAATTCTTACTAAAATCCTTTTGTCAATATCTGGTAATTTCCAGCTCATCACTTGTATTTCTGTCTCTTTTCTATTCTCGTATATAATAATGATCATCTTACCTCAATATTCCTGTTCTGAAACAATGTACAGTTTAATTCAATCTCTAAATTATATTTAATAATTATTATTTTGAAAAGACTCCTATTGAATAATTATTTAAGTATCATAGATTTTATAAATATTATTTCATTAAAAATTTGTGAAAATGTAAATTTAATGCACACGGGTACATTTAGTCCATTTCATTTGAGCATGTATGTGTGTGTGTGTATATATATATATATATATATATAAATTTATAATTAAAAAAATAAAACCAGAGAAATAATAAGGTGTTGCTTCCACCACACCGTCAAGTAGAAGATGAGAAGCACGTGAAAGTCTTCCCTTTAAGAGAAAAAAAAAAAAAAAAAAAAAAAAAAAAAAACCAGAAAGACAGCAGCCACCTAGCTGTGTGTGTGTGTGTGTGTGTTATATATAAGGCATATAAATGGTGTGCGTAGATGTTGTGATTGAACTTCACGAAAGCTAATGACAGCTCAATCATGACCGTACATTCTGTTTAAACTTAACTTCGTTCCCTTGACTCATACTGGGCTGGGGTTTGACTGTCATTCTTCTCAACGTCCAACACCAGTGACTCTAGGTTCACCCTCACTGGAATAAAGAGCTTCTAACTTACTCATAATACTTTATGTTTTTATACGTAATTATTAGAAAATTGTACTACGATTAGTGTGTTTGTGTGTGTGTGTGTGTGTGTATGTATTTAATTTTAATATATACATATATATTTTTTTTCCAGGTTCTACAATAATGCCTTCTATGCCAGAGTTGGAGGAATCAGCACAGTAGAGATGAATGTTCTGGAGATCGACTTCTTGTTTGGCATCGGTTTCAAATTAAACGTGACAGTGGAAACTTTCAACACTTACTGTCATTTTCTTCAGACACAAGTTTTAGGTTCAACCTCTCTGCACTCTCCTGTCTCCATTACCAAACAACTCAAGCTCCTCCATTGTTTTCCAGAAGATGACTCCTCCACCCATCACAAGCAACTCGCTGTTTAATTTAATTTACCCACCAACTGTGATTAACTTTTACTGTTAGATTTTGTAGTAAAATTCATTCTAGCAGTGGGTGGGGATTGACTTTTTTGCGGTTAAACTAGAACACAATTGGCTTTCAGCTGAATATATATATATATATATATATATGTATTCATGCTTTAAGCCAATTGTGAAGCTTTTTGGAGACTTGGTGGAACCTTTAGATCGTCTTTTAGTTTGTTTAAATAAAATTTTACTTCTTAATTTGCCTGCCTTTGTGGGTTGGCTACTCTACTTTCATGGTTTACCAACCATAATGCATATTATTTAGTCATTCTCTTTCGAAAAATGAAAAAATTAAGATGAGATTTTTTAAACC